TATTGGTTAAATTTATTTCTAGGTATTTTTATTTTTGTTGGCTATTGTAAATGGGATTGGCTTCTTGATTTTTTTCTCAGCTAGTTCATTATAGGTGCATAGAAACACTACTGATTTTTAGGCCGGGCACGGTGGCTCAAGCCTGTAATCCCAGCACTTTGGGAGGCCAAGATGGGCGGATCACGAGGTCAGGAGATCAAGACCATCCTGACTAACACGGTGAAACCCCGTCTCTACTAAAAAATACAAAAAACTAGCTGGGCGAGGTGGCGGGCGCCTGTAGTCCCAGCTACTCGGGAGGCTGAGGCAGGAGAATGGCATAAACCCGGGAGGTGGAGCTTGCAGTAAGCTGAGATCCAGCCACTGCACTCCAGCCTGGGTGACAGAGCGAGACTCTGTCTCAAAAAAAAAAAAAAAAGGAAACACTATTGACTTTTGTGTGTTGATTTTGTATCCCGCAACTTTATGGAATTTATGAGATCTAAGAGTTTTGGTGCAGTCTTTAGTTTTTTCTAGATATAAGATCATGTAATCTTCAAAGAGGGAAAATTTGATTTCTGGTTTTTCAATCTGGATTCCTTTTATGTCACTCTCTTGCTTGATTGCTCTGGCTAGGACTTCCAGTTCTGTGTTGAATAGAAGTGGTGAAAGTCGGCATCCTTGTCTTGTTCCAGTTCTTAGAGGAAAGGCTTTCCACTTTTCCCCATTCAGTATGATATTAGCTGTGGATTTGCCATATATGGCTTTGATTATGTTAAAGCATGTTCTGTGTATGTCTAGTTTGTTGGAAGTTTTTTTTTTTTTTAATTATAAAGGGGTGCTGAGGTTTATCAAATGCATTTTCTGCATCTATTGAGATGATCAGATGGGTTTCGTCCTTCATTCTGTTGATGTGATGTGTCACATTTATTGATTTGCATATGTTGAACCATCCTTGCATTCCTGGTATAAATCCTACTTAATCATGGTACATCTTTTTTTTGATGTGCTGTTGGATTTGGCTTGCTAATATTTTGTTGAGAATTTTTGCATCTATGTTAATCAAGGATATTGGCCTGTAGTTTTCTTTTTTTGTTGTGTCCTTGTCTGGTTTGGGTATCAGGGTAATGCTGGCTTTGTAGAATGAATTAGGGAGAATTCCCTCCTCTTCAATTTTTTGAGATATTTTTAGATAAAGAGGATTGGTATTCATTTTTGTAGGTTTGGTAGAATTCAGCAGTGAATCCACTCAGTCCTGGGATTGTCTTTGTTAGAAAACGTTGTATTATTGATTCAGTCTTGCTACTCATCATTGGTCTGTTCAGGTTTTCCACTTCCTCCTGATTCACTCTGCTAGGTTGCATGTTTCCAGGAAATTTATCCATTTCCTCTAGGTTTTCCAATTTGTTAGCATATGGTTGTTCATAATAGTCTCTGAAAGGCCGGGTGCAGTGGCTCATGCCTGTAATTCCAGTATTTTGGGAGGCTGAGGCAGGCAGATTGCCTGAGGTCAGGAGTTTGGGGCCAGTCTGGCCAACGTGGTGAAATCCTATCTCTACTTAAAAAAAAAAAATTAGCCAGGCGTGGTGGCATGCCCCTGTAATCCTAGTTACTTGGGAGGCTGAGGCAGGGGAATAGCTTGAACCAGGGAGGTGGAAGTTGTAGTGAGCTGAGACCGTGTCACTGCACTCCAGCCTGGGTGACAGAATGAGACTCTGTCTCAAAAAAAAAAGTCTCTGATCATCTTTTATATTCCTGTGGTATCAGTTGTAATGTCTCCTTTTTCATTTCTGATTTTGTTCATTTGGGTCTTATCTCTTCTTTTCTTGGTTAGTCTAGCTAGTGGTTTATCATTTTGTTTGTCTTTTCAAAGAGCCAACTATTCATTTCATCAATCCTTTGTAATTTTTTTAGTCTTTATTTTATTCTTCTCTGATATATACATATATATGTCTTTTTTTTTTTTTTTTTTTTTTTTTAGAGATGGAGTTTCACTCTTGTTGCCCAGGCTGGAATGCAATGGTGCAATCTTGGCTCACTGCAACCTTCACCTCATGGGTTCCAGTGATTCTCCTGCCTCAGCCTCCAGAGTAGCTGGAATTACAGGCACGCACTGCCATGCCAGCTAATTTTGTATTTTTAATAGAGACGGAGTTTCTCCATGTTGGTCAGGCTGGTCTTGAACTCCCGACCTCAGGTGATCTGCCCATCTCGGCCTCCCAAAGTGCTAGGATTACAGGTGTGAGCCACCGTGCCCAGCCCTCTGATCTTTATTATTTAATTCTTCTGCTAATTTTGGGAATTAATTTTGGTTTGTTCTTGCTTTTCCAGTTTCTGAAGTACATTGTTAGATTGTTTATTTGAAATCTTTCTGTGTTTTTGACTTAGGCATTTATTGCTATAAACGTTTCTCTTAGGACTGCTTTTGCTGTATCCCACAGGTTTGGTATGTTGTGTTTCCACTATCATTTGTTTCAATACATTTTTAAATCTTCATCTTAATTTCTTCACTGACCTAAGTATCATTCAGGAGCATGTTGTTTAATTTCCATGTATTTTTATAGTTTCCCAAGTTCCTCTTGGTATTGCTATCTAGTTTTATTCTATTGTGGTCTAAGAAGATACTTGATATGACTTAGATTTTTAAAAATTTGTCGAGATTTGTTTTGTGGCCTACCATATGGTCTATCCTGGAAAATGTTCCATGTACTGATGAGAAGAATGTGTATTCTGAAGTTATTACATAGAATGTTCTGTAAATATCTTTAGGTCTATTTAGCCAAAAGTCCAGCTTAAATCTAATGTTTCTTTTTAAATTTTCTCTCTAGATGATCTGTTGAATGATGAGAGTGGGGTAACAAAGTCCCCCACTATTATTGCACTGGAGTCTATCTCTCTCATTAGATCTAGTAATATTTGCTTTATGACTCTGGGTGCTGTAGTGTTAGGTGCATATAGTTAGAATTGTTACATCCTCTTGCTGGATTGATCCCTTTATCATTATATAATGACTTTTTTTTGCCTTTTAATTTACTGTTTTTGACTTAACATCTGTCTTATCTGATATAAGTATAGCTACTTCAGCTTGTTTTTGGTTTCCATTTGCATAGAATATCTTTTTCCATCCCTTTACTTGCAGTCTTTATGTGTCTTTACAGGTAAAGTGTGTTTTTTGTAGGCAGCATATAGTTGGATCATTTAAAAAATCCATTCAGCCAATCTATATCTTTAAGTGGAGTATTTACATTCAAGGTTATTATTGCTATGTGAGGTTTTGTTCCTGTCATATTGTTAGTTGTTTTCTGGTTGTTTTATATGTTCTTTGCTCCTTTTTCTTTTATTGTTTGTCCTTATGGTTTGGTGGTTTTCTGTAGTGACACTACTTGAGTCTTTTCTCTTTCTCATTTATGTGTTTAGTTTACCAGTGAGTTTTATAGTTTTTTTTTTTTTTTTTTTTTGAGACGGAGTCTCGCTCTGTCACCCAGGCTGGAGTGCAGTGGTGTGATCTTGGCTTACTGCAAGCTCCATCTCCTGGGTTCATGCCATTCTCCTGTCTCAGCCTCCTGAGTAGCTGGGACTACAGGTGCCCGCCACCACACCCGGCTAATTTTTTCATATTTTTTTAGTAGAGATGGGGTTTCACCGTGTTAGCCAAGATGTCTTGATCTCCTGACCTCATGATCTGCCTGCCTTGGCTCCCCAAGTGCTGAGATTACAGGTGTGAGCCACTGTGCCCGGCCGAGTTTTATACTTTTATGTGTTTTCATGATGGTAACTGTTGTCCTTTGCTTCTAAGTATAGTACTGCTTTGAGCATTTCTTGTCAGGTTGACCTAGTGGTGATGAATTCCCTCAGCTATTGTTTGTCTGAAAAAGACTTTATTTATCCTTCATTTATGAAGGGTAATTTTGCTAGATATAGTATCCTCTGGTGGCATTCTTTTTCTTTTCTTTTTTTTTATTTGGGACAGAATCTCACTGTGTCGCCCATGCTGGAGTGCAGTGGTGCGATCTCGGCTCACTGAAACCTTCACCTCCTGGGTTCAAACCATTCTCCTGCCTCAGCCTCCTGCGTAGCTTGGATTACAGGTGTGCACCACCACGCCCTGCTAATTTTTTTATATTTTTAGTGGTGACAGGGTTTCACCATATTGGCCAGGCTGGTTTTGAACTCCTGACCTCAAGTGATCTGCCTACCTCGGCCTCCCAAAGTGCTAGGATTACAGGCATGAGCCACCGCGCTCGACCATATTTTTAAATGCTCAACACCTCTAATCATCGGGGAAATGCAAATTAAAAACAAAATGAGACATCACCTCACACATGTTAGAATGCCTATTATCAAAAAGACAAATGATAATTAGTGGTGAGGCTGTGGAGAAAAGGGAACCCTTGTACACTGTCGATGGGAATGTAGGTTAGTACAGCCATTTTGGAAAACAGTATGAAGGTTCCTCAAAAACATAAAAATAGAATTACCATATGATCTAGCAATCCCGTTTCTGGGTATATATCCAGAGGAATTGAAATTGATATGTTGCAGAGATATCTGCACTCCCACATTCATTTCAGCATTGTTCACAATTGCCAAAATATAGAAGTAATCTAAATGTCCATCAATAGATGACTGGATAAAGAAAATGTGGCATATATACACAATGGAATACTATTCAGCCTTTAAAAAGAAGGACATTCTGTCATTTGTGACAACATGGATGGAACCAGAGGGCATTATGCTAAAGTGAAATAAACCAGGGGCAGAAAGACAAGACTGTATAATCTCATTTACATATGGAATCTAAAGAAGTTGATCTCATAGAAGCAAAGAGTGGCAGGGCTGGGAATATGAGGGGGAGGGATTGGGAAATGGAAGAGGTTGATTAAAGGATAGAAAGTTTCAGTTAGACTGGAGGAATAAGTATTGGTGACTGTTCTGCACAGTGACCTCAATAATAGTGTATATTTCAAATTACTAAAAATAGATATTTAATGTTCTAGCCACACACAAAAAAATGATGTTAGTCAGGTGAGGGAATGTTATTCAGATTGATTGAATCTTTCTATAACATACAGATAGATCAAAATATCTCATATATCCCATAAATATGTACAATTATTATTTGTCAATTAAAAATAAGTAAAAACAAATTTAAAAAGGAACTTAAGTCTAGCACACAGTCGGCACTCAATACAGGCTTGTCGAATAAGTTCATTATGAACCTATCACATATGGCCTTTTATTTGCATTAAATGTGTATTTATGAATTCCTTTTACCTTTCTAACCAGATGCTAAGTTCCTTGGCTCACACCGTTTTATATTCTCAACAGCCCTTAGCCCAGATTGTTAAATGATTTTAAAACAGCCACTAATAATGAGAGCTCATTCTTACTTTGCAACTGAGTAGCCACTCTCACTGCAGTCATCTATGTGGATGACCTTGCTTTAGACACAGTCACTGCTGGGGTGCTGGTGAGCTTGGGGTCCAGCTGCCACTGACTTTCTCCTTGTTCCTTCTCTGCTTTTGTGGAGAAGTTTGAGTTGCCAAGGTCCCAAGACACACAATCTCTTAGCCATAGCCCGTCCATCCACCTCCCTCCTCATTATTTCCTTCAGCAATTATAACCTTCCTTAGGGGGCTGACTTGGCTCCTTCAGTTTCAAGCCCGCATCTGGAATGAACTCAGACACCAGCGCTCACAACCCTGGTCATCCATCTCTGGGGATGAGCAAATCAGGAAGGAGCCATGGAAAGCGTAACTGAAGAAGAACGGGTTAGAGGCTGGGGAAGGGGCCGGGGCTGTTGCCGTGAGTGGGCCTGACCTCACGGCCTTTCATAAATCACATGCACTGGACTGAGGCTTGAGAGAGACACGCCAGAGGGAGGAAGGTGTTTGGGAAACTCACATGACTGTGGAGAATGAGCTTGTGTCAGAGGCAGTGAGTGGGAAAAGCTGCTTCTCCTGTTACCCAGGTTCTCTGAGCCAGCATCGTGGGGCTCTGGTGACCCTCCTGAGCCGGTTAGACCTTGAAGGCATCTGCTCAAGGGGGCTTTTCAGAGAGGCTTTCTGAGTGTTCTTGAGCCTTGGAGCGCAGGAGTCAGGCTGGGTTTCTAGCATCCAACCTCATTCCCCAGGAAAGCACCGTGGGGTCCATGCAGAGAGGCTCTGGTGAAGGACTCGGCCATGTGTGTTTTGCTGCTGAGTCTGCTCAGGCAGAGGAGGAGAACCAGGATCATAACCTCGGAGACCACAGTGACTCTGTATAGTGAGAGAGGAATGGGAAGGGAGTAAATGGCTGGACTTTTGTCTCTACTGCCATCATGTGGGTCAGGTCCAGGCTGTCACAGGAACCGGTGCTGCCGCAGGTACGTTTCCCACCTCTCACAACAGTGTAGACACATGCAACTCTTGGTTACTGCTAACACCTCATTCCTGTGCCCCAGTGGGGCAGCATGTTAGCACAAACTGTGCAGAGCAGGCTTGGTAGGTCCCCAGGAGTCTGGGCCACCATGCAGAATTGCAACAGGAGGAAAATTATGGTATTCCCAAATATTTCTTTAAAGGCAGGGGTTGGCAAGCTACGCCTCCCCATCAAATCCAGCTCAGTACCTATTTTTGTACAGGCTGCAAACTAAAATGTCTTATATTTTGAAGTGGTTGGAAAAAAATTTTTTAAGAATAATATTTCATGACGTGAGAATTACATGAAATTCAAATTTCAGTGTGCACCGATAGTTTTATTGCAACAGTGCCATCTTTTATATGTTGCTTTAGCACTCTGATACTGGCATCGGAGACCGTATAGGTTTCATACGCTAAAATCAAGACTGGCCAATAATTTGAGATACGATATGCAAATGTAGGGCCCCTTGTTTAAAAAAAATATTAAGAATTCCACGATGGCAACAGTTGAGCATTAAACCAAGTGTGGCCCCTAAACCCAGAGTCCTGTGTGACTGCCTGTGAATCTGGCCCTGGCTAAAATATTTGCTCTCTCTCTGGCCCTTTACAGAAAAAAATTGCCAACCTTTGCTGTAGGGGCTAAAATACCAACAAATGTTTTCTCTTTTATTTTATTTTTTTCTTGAGACAGAGTCTCGCTCTGTCACCCAGGCTGGAGTGCAGTGGCGTGATCTCGGCTCACTGCAAGCTCCGCCTCCTGGGTTTACGCCATTCTCCTGCCTCAGCCTCCCGAGTAGCTGGGACTACAGGCACCCGCCACCACGCCCGGCTAATTTTTTTGTATTCTCAGTAGAGAAGGGGTTTCCCCGTGTTAGCCAGGATGGTCTTGATCTCCTGACATCATGATCCGCCCGCCTCGGCCTCCCAAAGTGCTGGGATTACAGGCATGAGCCACCATGCCCGGCCATGTTTTCTCTTTACTTTCGTGCTATTAATGTTAATCTCCAGCAAAAAATCCAGGGGAAATTATTAAGGTATTTCTAGATACTTTGAAAAGGAAGTATTAAATACTAGGACCCAATATGGGTTGATTAAAAATAAATAATTCCAAATTAGAGTCATTTTCTTTTCTGCCAAATGACCTATTGGAATGGGAGGGTGTGTAAGGCTGAGCAGGCGAGTGCCATATACCTGTGCAGCAGTCCTTCCACTCAGGCAGTCACCCACATCCATACCAAAACTATCAGGAAAACTGTGTGATTCTTCATGCGTGAAGTTAAATTCAATGTGCAAATATTTTTTCTTATTTTTCAGTCACATAATAGCTCCTTCAAAAGTACTTCAGGCCGGAAGCAGTGGCTCATGCCTATATTCCCAGCACTCTGGGAGGCCGAGGTGGGCAGATCACTTGAAGTCAGGAGTTTGAGACTAGCCTGGCCAACATGGTGAAACCTCGTCTCTACTCTACTATACAAAAATTAGCTGGGCATGGTGGTGCATGCTTGTTATCCCAGCTACTGGGGAGGCTGAGGCAGGAGAATCTCTTGAACCCAGGAGGGGGAGGTTGCAGCGAGCTGAGATCACACCACTGCACTCCAGCCTAGGCGACAAGAGTGAAACACCGCCAAAAAAAAGTATTTCAGATGCGTTATAGTTGGATTGGTAAGTTACTTTTGAAAGTTATTTCCTCGGGAGGCTGAGGCAGGAGAATTGCTTGAACCTGGGAGGCAGACGTTGCAGTAAGCGGAGATTGTACCATTGCACTCCAGCCTGGGCGACAAGAGCGGAACTCTACCTCAAAAAAAAAAAAAAAAAGAAAGAAAGAAAGTTATTTCCAAGTCTTGGGCTTTTTCTCAAGCCATTTTTGGAGGTTGTGAATGAAGTTGAACGCACATGAGCATTTTTGTCAGATGCATTCATTGGATTTGGTACTTACGAGGCAGCAGATACAGTTTATGACTCCAAAATGGGGAATGAGTGAATCCTGATCTTCATCCCCAAAGGCTCATGTCTACACTTTGTAGTTGCTGAATTTTAGAATCTGAGTGATGTTATCAGTTGGAAGCATCGCACAGTCTTTTGCTGTTTCCACCAGACGACATCAGCTTATTAAATAAAATGTGAGATGCAGCTTCTGTAGGAGGTCCCAATGGGGAACTCAGTTCTAGCTGGAGCAAATGGTATTGACCTTTGCTATTATTTCTGATAGAAAAGATTCATGCTTGTTGAGGTACAAATGGGCTGTGGGATGGCATTCAGGGTCTGCCTATGGCCAGTGGTACTTGCCCAGCTCTTGGGTCAGTCTCAGGAAGACACGCTCTTCACTTCCTGTGGACAAGGAGTTTCCCAGAGTGGGGGAGCACATTGTCAGGGCTAAGGCAGGAGGAAGAACTGGCTGTAGGGGGAACAAACTAGCGGGTGTCCAGGTCACCTGGGGCCAGGGTGCCCCAGCTCCGAGATCTTTTGCATGCTACTGGAGGGAGCTTGGAGCCGAGGAGCGGGGTCCAGGTGCTGCCACGCATAGCCATGTGACCTTGAACACATGGTCACATATTTTGAGGCCTCCTTGTGTTTAGAATGAAGAGACTGGACAGGATTATTTCTAAGATCCTTTACTGCTCTAATCATCCATGAGTCTTTAAGGAAGCCTTTTTAACATAAAAATCTGTTCAAAAATAGAACTGGGCTGGGCATGGTGGCTCACACTTATAATCCTAGTACTTTGGGAGGTTGAAGTAGGAGGTCACTTGAGGCCAGGAGTTTGAGACCGGCCTGGGCAACATGGTGAAACCCCGTCTCTACAAAAAGCACAAAACAAATTATCTGGGTATGGTGGCACGTGCTTGTCATCTCAGCTACTAGGGAGGCTGAGGCATGAGAATTGCTTGAGTCCAGGAGGTCAAGATATGATCGTGCCACTGCACTCTAGTCTGGGTGACAGAAAGACTCTGTCTCGAAAAAAAAAAAAAGACTGCCTTCACGAGGCAGAGAGGATGCACGCGTGGAGGGGATTCTTTTCATCGGAGGGAAGCTGGGGTGACTCCCACTGCCCTCCTGCGGTGCCCTTAATTGAAAGCAGCCTTTCTTTTATTCTTTTTTTTTTTTTTTTTTTTTTTTGAGACAGAGTCTTGCTCTGTGCCCCAGGCTGGAGTGCAGTGGCGCGATCTCGGCTCACTGCAAGCTCCACCTCCCGGGTTCGCGCCATTCTCCTGCCTCAGCCTCCCGAGTAGCTGGGACTACAGGCGCCCGCCACGGCGCCCGGCTAATTTTCTTGTATTTTTAGTAGAGACGGGGTTTCACCGGGTTAGCCAGGATGGTCTCGATCTCCTGACCTCGTGATCCGCCCGTCTCGGCCTCCCAAAGTGCTGGGATTACAGGCTTGAGCCACCGCGCCCGGCCTCTTTTATTCTTATATAAAATGAGTTTCTCAGGAGGTTTGTGCTTTCAATCAAACAGATCGAATAAAAAGTCATTTACTCAACCTCCTTGTGCCCTATTCCCCATTCAGAAAACAGAACACATGTTCAGAGATGCTTATTGACTGGGCGGGAGGGAGCCAACACAGTGGCTAGACAGCCTGGGTCTGCAGGGCTGGGGAGGTGCTGCCTCCCGACTGCAGGAAGGGCTGGGCCGGGAATGGGCCAGGAGCCTCTCAACAGCCCAGGGACACCACCCTCAACCCAGCCCAGGGTGGGCACCAGCGCCGGTAGGCCTGGGGTGCTGGGCCAGGGGTCTGTCGGGGGAGAGGTCTTGGTGCCAGGCTGGCAAACTGGCTTTTATAATTCATTAATTTTTTTTTTTTTTTGAGACTCTGTAACCCAGGCTGGAGTGCAGTGGTGCCATCTTGGCTCACTGCAGCCTCCACCTCCTGGGATTCTCCTGCCTCAGCCTCCCGAGTAGCTGGGATTACAGGCATGTGCCACCACACTGGGCTGTATTTTTAGTAGGGACGGGGTTTCGCCATGTTGGCCAGACTAGTCTTGAACTCCTGACCTCAAGTGATCTGCCTGCCTCGGCCTCCCAAAGTGCTGGGATTACAGGGGTGATCCACCATGCCTGGCCAGAATCCATTAATTTTTTATTGTGGTAAAATGTACATAATATTTATCATCTTAGCCATTCAGAAGTACACAAGTACACACCGTGAATACATTTAATGCTGTGGCACTAAATTCATTCACGATGTTGTGGAACCATGACCACAATCTGTACCCAAAACTTTGCCCATCACCCCTAACAACTCTACCCATCAAACAATAACTCGCCCTTCCTCCCTGCCCCTCACTTGCTGTCTCTAGCTACCTTAGGTCCACATGGGTGCCAGTGGCGGGAGGTGGCAAGGTGGGGGCCGGCTGGCCCAGGCTTGTTTGGTAACTCCAGTCCCTGACAGTGCAGTGACTGGCGCAAACCTGAGACAAAACACACACCAGCAAACCTCAAAGGGCATCTCAACAAAAGCGAGTGAGGGACACAGAACGTCAATCATGGGGCTTGGGTCAGGAAACTCCTCCACCAGCCCAGCCCAGCTGCAGACAGCCGCGATTTTGTGTCCTGGAGACCCAGGAGAAATTCCTTCCAATCTTGAAACCCGTCCTGATCAGCACCCGAATACGGAGAACTCTGGGCCACAGGCCCCCGCAATTTCCACCCTGCGGTTTCCTGATCCCAGTCGCTACAAGTGGAGGAAGAGAAGAAAACATTTTTGTGGTGGGATCTTTTTAAGCATAGGAAAAAATAGAAGAGAAAGAAAACACGGGCAGCTCTGGGCAAGGGCCTGACAGGTTTGGGGTTGGAGATGCACCCCCCAGAGCCCAACTGGCAATTAGCGGGCAAGGGTGGGCGCGGGTGAGGCAGGCGCGGGTGAGGAGGGGGGGTGAGGGTGGGGTGAGGCGGGGCGGGCGGTGGGGGGTGAGGTGGCGGGGCAGGTGCGGGTGAGGGGTGGGCGAGGCGAGGCGGTGTGGGTGAGGGGGTGAGGGAGGCGGGGCGGTGAGGCGAGGCGGGGCGGGTGAGGGGGGTGAGGTGAGGCCGGTGGGTGCGGGTGAGGCGAGGCGGGTGCGGGTGAGGGGGTGAGGTGAGGCGGGGCGGGTGAGGCGAGGCGGGGCGGGTGAGGGGGGTGGGCGAGGCGAGGCCGGGTGCGGGTGAGGGGGGTGAGGCGAGGCGAGGCGGGGCGGGTGAGGGGGTGAGGCGGGCGGGGCGGTGAGGTGAGGCGGGGCGGTGAGGGGGGTGAGGTGAGGTGGGGCGGGTGCGGGTGAGGCGAGGCGGGGCGGGGGGGTGAGGCGAGGCGGGGTGGGTGAGGCGAGGGGGCGGGTGAGGCGGGGCGGGGCAGGGTGAGGCGGGGCGGGGCGGGTGAGGGGGGTGAGGTGAGGCGGGGCGGGTGAGGCGGGGCGAGGCGGGCGGGTGAGGTGAGGCGGGTGCGGGTGAGGGGGGTGAGGTGAGGCGGGGCGGGTGAGGCGGGGCGAGGCGGGGCGGGTGAGGTGAGGCGGGGCGGGTGAGGGGGTGAGGTGAGGTGGGGCGGGTGAGGCGAGGCGGGGCGGGTGAGGTGAGGCGGGGCGGGTGAGGGGGTTGAGGTGAGGTGGGGCGGGTGAGGCGAGGCGGGGCGGGTGAGGTGAGGCGGGTGCGGGTGAGGGGGGTGAGGTGAGGCGGGTGCGGGTGAGGGGGGTGAGGTGAGGCGGGTGCGGGTGAGGCGGGGCGGGGCGGGTGAGGGGGGTGAGGTGAGGCGGGGCGGGTGAGGTGAGGCGGGGGCGGGTGAGGGGGGTGAGGTGAGGCGGGGGCGGGTGAGGGGGGGGTGAGGTGAGGCGGGGCGGGTGAGGCGAGCGGGGCGGGTGAGGGGGTGAGGCGGGCGGGGGCGGGTGAGGGGGGTGAGGTGAGGCGGGGCGGGTGAGGTGAGGCGGGGGCGGGTGAGGGGGGTGAGGTGAGGTGAGGCGGGGGCGGGTGAGGGGCCAGGGCGCCGAGGGAGGGCAGGGGGAGCGTTTCTTTCCCTGCTGCCGCCTCTAGAAGCGGCGTATTCTGCCAGCGGCCGAATGCAAGAGCGAGCAGCCCCTCCAGCCTGTGTGAGCTGCGTCGCGTCTCTTGCTGTTAAGGGACAGGAATTCGGAGGAACTCAGGAAGAGGTAGTTCGCTGAACAGACGCCCAGTTTTGCAGACCCTGATATCCAGTCAAGACTATTTAATCACTGTCCACAGAGACAGCTACATACACACGCGGGTGGGGAATGAACCTAAAGTTTTTAGGTGAAGTCTCTCAGGGCCCGCTGCGTGCCACAGACCTTCCTAGGTTGCAGATTCTGGGCAAAGCATCCATGCTCTCATGAGGTTATCGAGGTTATCCTGGGGAGATTCAGAAGAATTCTGTGGCCAGTCCCAAGCTGTGCTGATAATTTTTAACACCTAATGCTAGTACCAATACTTTTGTTAAAACAGGAAAGACCAGTGGGTCTCCTGAAGCCATTTGGCCACTGAAGTCTCGGTGGCCAGAGAACGACCAACACAAAGCTGTGCCCACCACCAAGGCACCCTCCCTCCTTCCTTCATCTTCACTGCCTCCCTCAGGCCAAGGAAATCAGAGATGCCAGCTCCACAGAGGGAGGGCTTTGTCACAGGTAGGATGGGGCAGTCCCTGTCCCAGGTGCCACAAGGTCCTGTCCTTGCAAGCTTATGTCGGATGGTGGGGATGAGATGCGAGTTCAGTGATGCAGAATCTCAAGAGCCTCTCATGGTGCAGAAATGTCGTCATCAATTCAAGCCTTCCGGAGTTGAACTGCCGGGGGAGGGGGTGACGCTGAGTGGGTGTCGGGGGAGGTGCCTGAGGTGGCAGGGCACTTGTGGGGAGTCGAGGAGCCCAGTCTGGGTGGAGGTGGAGCCGGCTCTTTGCACTGTGAAAGCTTCTCTGGCAGGTCTGCCACGCCGGGTCCTGTCTGGAGGCCCGTGCTCACTGCGCAGTCGTGTCTTCATTCTGATTCCTGCCCTGGGTGTGGCGCCCTTACAAGCAGGACTATCCCGTGTGTGTCTTGTGGGAGGCTGACACCGTCCCTGCCCCTGCTGGAGCAGCATCTTATGTTTGGAGGAGAAAGGGTGCCTCTGGGTTGGGGGGTAAGGAACGGGTGCTCTTTGTCGGGGAGGACCCACTGGGACTTGGCTCTCTGCTAGTCTAGCAAATGGGCAATTCTGGCCAGTTCTCAGTCTTGCAGGAGTTGGCCCTCCCTCCCCTGCCTTGCTCTGGGCTCTTTAGGCATGAAGGAGGCTCCATTTGCTAAGGAAACAATATGAGGACAGTAGAAGCAAGAACAGTTTGGACTGTTCTTGCGCCACCCTGCTCTGGCCACCGGGTGAGTGGCTGTGTCGGGCCTGTGCCTCACTCTGCCTGTCCTGGCTGGACGGTGGGCTCACCCCCACCCTGCCATCTTCCCCCACTCGATTCCTTCTGGATTAGCTCAGTGTAGCATTACCCCAAAGACTCTGTCCAAGCTGGCAAGAATCGCACATTGGGCTGTTTGGCTTTTAATAAAGTTTATGATTTAAATCTTGTGCTCTTAACACCTTCTTTGCAAGCCTCAGAGGGAAACAAAAATGCTGAAGTTGTTGACTCATTTCCTTCGTAACATGGAGACCCTCACATTTGGCCAGGGCCTGTGTGCGCGTTAACACAGAGTCGGGTTGTGTGGCTGTACACACGCACACGCACGCGCGCGCACACACACATGCACTCAGAGGAGAGGAGGAATCTTTGGGAAGACTGGCTGTATTTCAGTACCTGGCAAGTTTCCAGAACATCAAATGAGCCCTTAAGCAGAAAGACTCCTCTGCAGAACTAACACCTGCAGTAGATTCGGAGCGTTTGCCTCCTCACCGAAGTCGGTACTGTTTCCCTGGAAGTAAAGAAGGAGACTTATCAGGCCTCTTGTGTGCCCCTGGGAGGAAATACAAGTTTGAAGAGCACCAGAGGACCTGTGTGGAGATTTCAGAGTAGGGGAGTGAGGAGAGGAAAGGAGGCTGCGGTTGGATCCTCACACAGGTTCCTGAGGCTCTGGGGTCAAGCCCCAGCTGCTTCCCTGCCAGCTGCTTGCACTGGAGATGCAGTCAGGCCCAGCACCAAGGCAGCTAAGGCTGCAGCAGACCCTGCTGTCCTGGACCCTGGCCTGGAAACAAGGAATTTCACAGAGGCAGCAAATGGGATTCCCCTTGACATCAGGTAGCCACAGCGTAGGCTTGCTCTGACCTGTCCCGCCCACAGGGGAAGCTGGAGTCATAACGGATGTCCATGCTAATATTTCAAGGCTCGACACATTTCCAATGACATGGGCTGGAACTGTGCCAGCTGCGGAAAAGAAGGTCCTGGAATACAAAGTCCTGGGAGCCCTGCAAGTCCTCAAATCAGTGCTGATCACTTGGCAAGGTCAACATGTGTACGGGCATGCTCGACTGGGTGTGCAGGGGACCCAAAAGCAAGAACAGACACATGCCCTGCCCTTAAAGGGCTTGCAGTCAATGAGGGGACAGGAGAAGGAAAACAGGCTGCCTGTTTTGGGTGGGAGGCAATGGAGATCAAAATGCTATCTCGCTGTGGAGGCTGCCTGGGGACTCTTCAAGGGCCTTTTGTGACGTTTAGTCCGTGTAGGAGAGTTCAGGGATATTGGAGCCAGCGATGGCTTGCATGCTGCAGCCTGAACCCCATGACGTGACATCCTGACAAAGAATCCAGTGTTGGGCTCCAGTCTCCCTGGGTCCCCTTTGTCACAGTGACTAACAGGCAGGGAGAAAAAGTTCTCATTCAAGAGACCATCCTGGCCGGGCGTGGTTGCTCAGGCCTGTAATCCCAGCGCTTTGGGAGGCTGAGGCATCAGGAGCTCGACATCAGCCTGACCAACATGGTGAAACCCCGTCTCTACTAAGAATACAAAAAATTAGCCAGGCGTGATGGCAGGCACCTGTAATCCCATCTACTCGGGAGGCTGAGGCAGGAGAAAAGCTTGAACCCGGAAGGCGGAGGTTGCAGTGAGCTGAGATTGCGTCACTGCACTCTAGCCTGGGTGACAAAATGAGACTCCGTCTCAAAAAAATAAAAAAAAATAAAGAAAGAAAGAAAAAGAAAAAAGAGACCATCCCTGCAGGAGGATGATGCGGCCCCAGATGATGAGGCTGGTGGATTGGCATCTGGGCTTTTTTTCCCTCCTCAAGCAGAAACAATCTGATGGTTGGCATCTGACTTCTTGGGGGTGGGCACCACAGCCCTGCCCGGAGTGGCCCTTTCAGGAAGGCAGGCCCAGAGGCCTCTGTGAGGGCTGGAGGGGGTCTTGGGAGCGTGAAGAGGCCAGCAATGCCCTCACGTCTCCAGGAGAGCTCCCACTGCAGGCCTCAGTGCCCCTGTCTCTAGCTGGTTTCTACACCCATGGAGGATTTTAGACGCAGGAAATGGCCCTTGGAATAGGGTCTGGTCAGAGTGGCATGACCTCTATAAGGGTGATGGTCCTGTTCTCAAGATTCTAGGCTTTAGGACAAATGATAGGAGGGTTTCCTCACAGCCCCTGAGGATGATGCCACCGACTTCCGGCAGACACCGCCCAGCAAGTTCCCAAGCAGGAGCCAGCTGGCCAAGGCCGACGGAATGAAACCATGGGTGCTGGGCCCTGCTGTGTGCACGTCGGGCCTCACGCGGTCCCCTAGTCCCCTTGCCCTCCTGCCTTCATGTTCGAGGCCACGGTTCCCACAATCCGGGCCCCGCTTTGCCCTGAAATGGAGAGCCGGTTCTTTGCCATTCTGCAGGACAAGCGTCCTGTCCCCCACTGCCCTGTAGGCCCCATAAAGGCTGTGCTCAAGGAGGAGCGGTGAAGCCAGAGGCAGCCTCCCCTGAGACAGGTCAGTCCCCTTGGAGCCAGCCTCCCCCCATCCCCTGCAGCTGGCCCCATGGGAGTGCCCAGGCGTGACAGTGGGATGAGAAAGGCTAACCGGCTTCTTGCTTAAAGGGCCAGATGGCTCCTCAAAGCTGCCGGATCATCCTGACGTCAGTACTTAGGAGAAAAACCAAGAAGAACTTCAGGATGGAGAAATGCGGCACGCCTCCCATCGCCTGGACCTGCCCTGCTTGTCCAGGGTCGCTGCCTGTGTCCTGGGCTTTACCGCTGACCTCAAGGCCCAGCCCTGGCTTCTGCGGGAGGCGCGGTGGTGGCTGGGGCACCGTCGCACGGAAGTCCTCGTTCCTGGGTTGTGTTCCCGGCACGGGAGCGCTGCACAAATGCGGAGGCAGGAGTCCAGGCACATCAGCCCTTTACATCCTGCACACAGGGCAGGTCCAAGTCAAGATGCAGATTCCCACAACCCTGAAGAATAAAATCATAGTAATAAAAAAGTGTAAGCCCGAGAGGAACTAAGCAGGAACCATCTTTCGAGTGTGAATTCTTCCAGATGCCAGAGATGGCTTTTTGTTATGGAAGTTTTTTAGACATTTCATGCTCTTTTTTTTTTGCCCACATCTGACTCTCCTTCTTCAAAGGAATGTGGCTCAAGTTCTTCACTCGTACGAGCAAGGCTGAGGCGACCAAGTGCTGTGGAGACTGAGACCGAGGAGATGGGAAGGTGCCAAAGTGGCCAAGACAGAACTAAGCGTTAACTCGGGAAGGGAAAGATGAATGTCGCACGCCGGAAGCAGCAGGGAGAGTTGGGAAGAAGAGTGCTTGCGAAGGCTGCGGATGTCCCAGGCCACCCTGTAAGCCATTGCCTATGGCAGAGGATCTTCTTCCCCAGACGACATGGGAAAGGAATGGTCCCTGTGGACAAGGTGGGCTGGCATGGCATTACCGAGCCTGCAAACCTCATTCCTATCCCATCAAGGGCCTGAAGGAGAGAACATTCAGAGGGCTTTGTAGCCTCATTTCCAGGAAATAACCAGTGCCCAGAGCCAAACGGAGCCTGAAATCCTGATGTGACTCACATCCACCCCAACGGTGACCAAGCCACGCATGTTATTTTCCTCTTTCCTCTGAAACCCCCAGCCACCGTGTGGCCCTGATGCCTGAACCCCTCTGAGGCTGTCAGGGAGTCTGGGTCCAGAGAAAGGTTTGGAAGCGATGGACCCACTTTGAACCCAGGTCCAGTGAAGTCGCTGTGTAACTCAGGGCAACCTGATCTTTGATTTCTGGTTTCTCTGCCGGAGAAGCGGGTGAAGGGAGGCAAAATCCATACCTCATGTTGAGTAACTGAAGATTAAGTGATGCCCTTTCAAAAGGGCCCACCTGCCTGGATGCAGTAATAAACAATGTCACATGTCAGCTGGCATTTTGTTCACACCTATATCCTAGCACTTAGTGGGGCTGGGGCGGGAGGATCGCCTGAGCTCAGGATTCAAGACCAGTCTGGGCGACATAGTGAGACCTCATCTCTACAAGAGTTAAAAAATTAGCTGGTTGTGGTGGTACACACCTGTTATCCCAGCTACTCAGGAGGCTGAGGCAGGAGGATCACTTGAGCCCAGGAGGTCGAGGCTGCAGTGAGCTATGACCGCACCTCTGTACTCCAGCTGGGGTGACAGAGCCTGATGTGTATCTCCATGAATCAGTAAAAACGTTCTCCTCCCCTTAGGGAAGCAGTGTCCCCTCATGTAGCTTCTCTGCACGTGGCCAGGGGAGCCTCCCTCAGGTCCCAGGCTGGCAACTCCAGAATGGGTGTGCCCACGTGTGTTTTCTTTCCTTCGCTTTTTTATATCAGTCCCTGGGGAGGCTTTACCTCGTCGGTAGCTGGGGAAGGGTCAGGACCAACGGGGCTGTGAGATCGTGTCTCCCAAGCTGGCCTTCCTAGGGCATGGGGGACCTGCTTTCATGCTGCACCTGTGGCCATGGCCACGCCTCGTTGCTCTGAAGCCAGGCAGTAACGCACGTCCTCTGTCCACCTGCTGTCCCAAGTGCCCTCTTCGTACTTTCCTACCTCCCTGGTCTTGCTCATCTGTCTTTTGGGCCTCCCTTCATCCCCTTTTCTGGCAAAATCCACCTGTTGAAGTTGTGTGACGAGCACTGCCTGCCTCGTGCCCCACTGCACTTCACTGGGCTTAGCTGTCCCCAGCAGGCTGTCCTCCCCTGGGAGGTGGCCACAGCAGCGGGCTGAAGAACACACACTCTGGGGACAGAGTCGGGTGTGAATTCCAGTCTCACCACGAACACGCCATGTGATGCTGGGAAGGTCCTGCGTCCACTTTGTGCCTCTCCTGTAAAACGGGGTAACACTACCCGCCTTGTAGGACTGCTATGAAGGTGAACTGACACCAAACCTGTGCAGTGCTCAGAACTGAAGCTGGCAGGTGGTCCATATGTCACTAGCTTTTATTATTTGTAGCCTGGAGTGTGGGACACAGGGAAATACAAATTCTGAACGGAGCGCTACGGTGGCCCTGTGTGAATGCGGATTGCTTGGATCTTGTGGGGGAAGACGCCTGTATGTGTTGTTTGGGCAAGTACAATTGCAGGATGTGAATATTTACCTGATTCAGGAAAAATTCAAACACAAGAATAAGGAGAATGGACTGACAAACCCCATGCACCCAGTTCCCCAGCTTCCTGATTACTTACCTCTGGCCCATCTTTTTGTCTCCACATCCTGCTCCTCACCCTCGCTCCTCCCCGACAGACACGCTGGATTATGTCTGAGCAAATCGCAGATGTGAAGAAAGCAATTTATGCTCTGTGGTCTTAAAGGAAATTTCAAAAAGGAAAAAGATTATCCCACGGCACCTTCATTATGACCTAGGCTGGGGACAGGGATGAAGGAGGCGTTCTTTCAGAGGGGAAGCAGAGGCTGGGAGGTCAAGGGGCAGCCCAGGGCTGCAGTCTGTGAGTCTGGGCCCTTTCCAGGACACCTGGGAAAGCTCATGAACCTCACACCAGCTTCCCCCAGCCCCAGAGCCTAACTAGTTATTTTTGTTTTGAGACAGGGTTTCTCTGTACCTCTAGGCTGGAGTGCAGTGGTGTAATCACTGACGCTCACTGCACCTTCCATCTCCTGGGCTCAAGTCACCCTCTTGCCTCAACCTCCAGAGCAGCTGGGACTATAGGCACATGCCACTATGCCCTGCTAAATTTTTAATTTTTTGTAACGAGAGGTCTATGTTGTCCAGGCTGGTCTTGAACTCCTTGCCTCCAGTGATCTTCCCACCTTGGCCTCTCAGAGTGTTGGGATTAAAGGTTTCAGCCACAGCCCCCAGTCCCTAACTAGTTCCTGATCATTTTTGAGCCAGCCTGAGATATTCTGCCTCAAAAATAAAGTACTAGTGATCTTTTCTCAATTTGGAAAAAAAATTAATGGATGGAATTCTTAAAAGTTTCCACAGATTTTCGTCCGTGTTCACTTGCCTGCAACTGGGTGCTGATAGAATGCAGGGTAAATAAATAGTAAAAAATGAGATGAATGGGAAACCTTGGAAACAGCTGACCAGGGTAATCTGACAGCTTTCTGTGGACACATCTGCTGTGGCTGTGATTTTATATTGTGCAGAATAATACATGCTCTGCTAGTGAAACGGTTCCTGCTTCATATGATGAAAGTACAAGCAACCTCAGCCCTGCGGCCCTGTCCACAGCGCCGTCTCCCACGCACTCCTCCCCTGGCAGAGCTTCCTAACAGCTGCTCTGGCTGCAGAGAGGGAGGCCAGGGGGGCACCTGGGCACTGGGAGGGCTGACCAGGAAGAACGAGTTTGGACTCTCTTGCTACAATTCCCAAGAGCCAACACCCAGTGTGTGACAGAATTTACACGGGCGAGGGAAGGAATGCAGGAAGCTGACTTGATTCCTTTCTCGGGTAGACACAGAAGTGTGGCTAAGCAGAAAAGTAATTCTCATAAAAGA